TTTTTTCTTTGCACTAATTATTATTAAAAATAACTGTAATATTTTAATGTTTTATGTTTTTTTATTTTATATTTTATAAAAGTTTTGATAAATTATTTATCATTAATATTCATTATATGTTTTTTTTTATTTAATACTTGTATAAAAAGTATTGGTAGTAGTAAATTGGTGATGATAATAAGTTTGAGTTTTGCTAATATATATAATAATCGAACAAGAAAAAAAAAAACCGAAATACTCTTACCGTCGCTCCGGTTTGATTTCCTTCCAACGTGACATCGAACGAGCTGTTCGGCCAATGTCGTCGAGACAATTGTTGATCCGTTCCGTCCAATCGTCCATTGGATAAATTCTCGATGTCACCTTGTAACGATCGACCGTGCTCGGTCTTGCGTAAGCCAGCGACTGCGTGCTACAAAATTTTTACAGGTTTTCTTTTTTTTTTTTTTTAAACTAAATAAAAATTAATGAATGAAAAAAATGATAGCAATAAGTATTCCAGTTTATTTTCTTTCCCTCTTCTTAACGGAATATATCTCTTATGTTTTGCAACGAAACGGATATCAAACCGGTTTAAAGCGAATTATAATCCGGAAAATAATCAATCAAAATTATATCTTTTGATAAAATTTTTCTTTTCTAAAAAAAAAAACCATTCGAATGAATCATTTCAAGCTCAATAAAATTCTTTATCTAAATTTCGGCAGTATTGTTTTTTTTTTTTGAGAAAGAATTAAAATAAATAATGATAGTTGTAATTAATTACTGAACTTTATTAAGATGATGTTGTTATGCTAAAAATTTTAATTGAAATTTTGAAAAAGAAAAATATGGACAAGTTTTTAAATTTTTCGAATGAATTTTATTAAATTAACTTTTATTTTAATAAATTTTGTAAAATTAATTTTATTAAAATAAATTTATGTTAGGAAAATTTATTTACTTAAAAATTGAAATATTTTGCATAAATGAATATTTCGCATATATATAAATATTTAAAATTAAAATGATAAGTAAAATTAATAAATTAATATTTTTTAAAAATATTACAAAAATTATCAATAGTTCGAGGAAAATAGAAGAAAAAAAAAGAAAAGAAATTAAAATGAGTAAAAAAAATACATTTTACCTGTAATGTCTCAGCGTCCAACCGGGGAGTGGTGGGCTTGGGCGACGCTAAAATTAATTGAAGTATTAAATAGAAAGCGACAGAGAAAAAAGAAAAAAATTAATTCCAAAAATTCAAACAATCAAATAAAATATTTCATTACAAATGCAAATTAAAAAAAAANAAAAAA